CACTTTTTAAAAATGGAGTGTTTGGAATTACCACCTTCACTACAGTATGAGTCCTGGGAGGGCAAGGGCTAGATCTTAACTCATCTTTGAATAAACTTAAAGTCACTAAACCCTGCTTTGTACATAGAGAGTTCAACGTCTATTAACTGAATCTAGTATTGCAGACAAAGTCAACATCTGTTCTTGAAATTAGCCCACCTAGATTAAATGTGTTATTTGTAAATCTATTGGCCAGTGCCATCCACCAAAATGTAGCCTTTTTAGTAGAACCAAAGGCTCATAACATTTTGTATTTCAGCACCAAAAAAGCAGTGCAGGTTTTACTAGAAGTCCATCTTCTCTGCCCTCTTTCCCAGGCAATCCTGAAGCATCTGGGTGGAGTACAGTCATTAAAGGCAGGTATTGACATCTGTCAGTTTGCGTTGCTTACTGACTTATTAAATGACCCTGTTAATTTTGCTACTGATTAACTTTGCCACTTTCTCTGCATTCATAGTGCCACCTTGTGGCCAAGAAACATGTAACACTCATTTACTCTGATGCTACCTGGGGTGATGTTTCTTGGGTGTGCACAAGCTTAAAGGGTAGTGCTTCTGTTATTTCATCTATTTCTAAGTTCAGAGGCTTTCCAAGTGGAGAAACATGTGAATCACTACCTACAGTTTTCGTTAGTTTACTGCTAGTAAAACTTCAATTCGACTTTCTCCAGCAGGAGTTCATTTAGAAGCATTAATAATGTTTGTATTTTGTGTACTTTCTCAGTTTTTTCATCATAGTGTAACAGGGTGGTCCCCAGGAAAGGGGGAGGTTCCAGCTTCCCTGCCCCACCCAAGGAAGGGTGGAGCTGAGCAGGGAGAGAAGCTGAAGAAGAGACTGAGGAAGGAAGGAAGCAGGATGGAGCCAGGAGACCTGGAGGAGGCGCATGGAGCCTAGAGACACGTGAAGAAACTGCGCTTGTCTTTGGGTTGTGGACTGGGTGACACAGATGTGGGTGAGACCCATGGGGAGGTGACAATGGCAGCTTTTATCTGGATGTTGATTTTGCTCTTTTCCTTCGCTTTGGGGCCTTGCTCTGGGCCGACCCCATATGGATGGAGTTTTACCCACGAGGGGATGGGTAACTTTGGGTGCTTCATTTAGAAACTAGACTCTTTGCCTCACCTGTATTGTTTCCTAGTTTTTATTAAAGATCCTTCCCATTAAAGTGTCATATGTTTTGTGTTGATGCGGCGGATGGCAGAACCCATTTAGAATAGGCAGGTTTGCGGGGTTTGGGCTGCCCCTCTCCCTGTCCTATAACAATAGTACCGAAGTACTGGTTTTCCTTTTTCAGTTCAGTGTTTTTTTTCTCTTATAAAGTCAAAGTATACCCGGGGGTACAGTAAAAATGGTTCTTGGAGGGGTTGGGAATGACAAGGTGCAGGATTACTCCAGAAGAGTCCAACTCAACCAAAATTTCTGCTAAAAATCTGAAAGCAGTTGAGAAATGGGACCTTTGGATTCCATCCTCATGTGCAGTCTTGATCAAACGAGCTGAAAAATAAAAGAAGTCGTTAATACAATGAATAAAATATCTGTAAATCCAAGCAACCATAATGTAGAATCTAAAATAAGATATTTTTGAACAATTGCAAAAAAGATTGAAAATCTCTACTGTTCTTTTCATACCAGAACCTTCCAAACCATTCTCAGAGTCCACTTATTGACATATCACAGTAAGAACAAACATGGGTTTGATGCAGCAAATTAGATGTCACAAATTAAAGGAAGGATGGACGAGGAGGGGGGAATGACACTGACATCGCTGATCATGAACAGGTTTAAGAAATCCACTGAAAATTTTGCTGGATTTTTAATGAGTCCATTTCCTCTTATGAAGGGCTTGACACAGATTTCAGAATTTTCATGCAATAATGCATTACAGTCAATGGGGTGGGGTATAAAGAAGGTATGGAGGACAAGAAACGTTTGAAGGTCTCTTGATTAGTATGGATGTGAAGGTCAGAATGACAGCAAGATTCTTAAAGTGAAAGTTGAAGGTTCATGTACATTGTGAAGTAATAGAATATTTGAAGGCAGACTGTAATAATGGGAAGATGCATATTGTAATTTCTAGAGCCAGGCTACCAAAAATCTTTTTCACAAGGATAGAAATGGTCTTTATTTGTTGTTCCCAATTGATAGCCACTTACTACATGCAACATAACCCTAGGTACAAAGGATAATTGCAAAACTTAAAAGGAAAAAATTGAATTGCCCTGAAGCAAAAAGACTTTCCTTCTCTTTTACTTTGGAAACTTGTAATTGTTAATGCTTCCTCTGCCCTTTCAGGCAGTACAGAAATCTTTTTACACACAATGAGCCTTTTGCAAACCTTATAAATAGGAATGTCTTTCTCAAGGATCTGGAGACATCTCTTGAAACATCAAAATCATGCATATGAATAAGATAACACCCCCATCTCCTCTTCTCCATGGGAGCTTAGCTTGAAATTATAACTGGCTATATGCTATAGAGATATACAAAGTATTATGTCTTGGGATAAAGGCAAACAGCAAACACAATGGCCATCACAATTACCAGGTAAATTTAAGATGCGCTACATGTGACAGTGTTGGCAAATCTTACTGAAGTGTACGTTATTGTTTGTCTTGTGAACCTGGGTGCCAGGTGTTGCACCTCCCTGGTTATATAAAAAGGTGAGATTTTTTTCTGTCTTTGCAATTTTTTTTTTTTTTATGGTAGCAATGATGTGTATCACATTCTGGCTTTACAATACTTATTTTGTTGCAGAAATAAATTCTAGCCTTTTACTTGGGCAGGGGAAGAACAAGAGATACTTAAGGAATGGTGAGGTCAGAAAAGTTTTATTACTCATGCATGAGGTCTCAGACCTGGGTAGCCCCATAAGGTCTGAGCCCCAGTCTAGGGACAAAGGGTTTCTTTTATACATAACCATCTTACATTGATAACATCAGTCAGTAAGCACAAAAGTTTGTTACAAAAGACAGGTATTCAAGGATGCCCTGGAGATCAATCAGCCTGGGGGCTCTCTGGCCTTGTTAAAATGTAACCTCCTTTAGGTAATCTCATCTAGATAGGCTTTAGAGAGGCAAAACTTGTTGTTTACATTTACTTTGCATTATTTACTGCACAAGACCTGTGACTCTTTTAACAGGAAACAGGAAAGATTTCATTTGATTAGTGGTTCCCTTTCAATTTCATAATAAAACTTTTTTCTTTCTACTTTTGTGGAGTTTTTCTAGGTTGGCAGGAGATTTTGTTTTTAATTGCATTTCTGCAACAAGAACAACCATTTAAAACATATGCAAACACAGGGAGGTAGAGTTAAATGGCCAGTAGAGATGCCACAGAGGACTCCTAGGACACACACAAAGGAAGAAAAAAAGAGAAACACATGGGACCAACAGAAAATAAATACCAAGATGCAGCTTACACTTATCCATGGGAATAACCACTATAGAAGAAAACTTTCCATTAAAAGGCAGACATTTTGGGGGGCTCCCAGGTGGCACAGCGGTTGAGCTCTGGGCTGCGAAGCTGTCTGCAGCCTCTGCAGAGCCGGTTAGATCCCTGGGTAAGGGTCCCACATGGCTCGCAGACCTCTCCTGCTGCCTGCTCCTCCCCTCAGCAGTGTATTTCAGTCAGTCTGCCAGTTCTGTTCCCTGCTCTGGCTCTGGTGGATTCTCTCACCCTTCCGCGCTTCTGAATGTACCCAGTGCTTGTATAAATAAATAAATAAATCTTAAAAAAAAAAAGGCAGAAATTTTTAAAATGGGTATGAAAGTAAAACACGTATTTATGTAACTATATATATATATATAACCTTTTATCTATAATTAGCATATTCTTTAAATGTATCAATAGGTTGAAAGTATGAAGATGAAAAAGATATACCACACAAACACTGTGCCTAAGAAAGCTAATATGGCAATACTGAGTAAGGTAAAAGATTTCAAGACAAAGAATATAATCAGTGATAAAAAGTGCTAATCTATAATTTGGTTAAAGGGTCAGTTCTTTAGGAAGACACAATAATGCCAAATGTGTTGCGACCTAATAACACAGTAAAAGTTTCAAAATATAGGCCAAAAAAGGAGAATTACAGGGGAAATAGACAAAGCCATAATCAGTTGGAAATGTTAACGTTCCTCTCAGTAATTAGTAGAAAAAGTAGATGAAAAACAATGATCTAGAGGACTTGACCTACACTAAAATAGTGAAATCAAGAAATTTTGGTTTGTTAAGAATTAAGATTTAAATATCAGGTAACAATATAAAATCTCATTTCTAGGTGACACTTGAGATCCTGTTATAACCATTTTGATGTAGTGGCAATTGAAACATCTGTAAAGATTTAACTAAAAGTTGTTGCCATGTGCAATTTGGGGTGAGAGCTTGGGGGCACAGAAATACATGTGTCTTCATGCTTTAGATGCTATAGGAGATCATGATGAGCTGGTGTTGTGAAATATTTATTAATGTGACATTATAATACAGGCAAAACAAACCTTCTCCCTTGTAAACTACAAGCAACTAAAGCAGGATCTCAACCTTGGTGGATTTCATCTCTTTGGGTCTGGTGTCCAAATAGGTCCGACAGGCCAACAGTTTCCTCCAGTGTTACCTTCTGGGTGGCAAGCTCCCACTGGTCCCTAAGGAACAAGTTTGCCACATTTTACAAATTGAAATATGGATTACATAGTCTAATTTGAATTTCAGATAAACAACTTACTACTGGAAATATTTCCCATAAAAACCATTCACACTTTATATGAACTTCCAATTTAGCTGGGCCTTCTCGTACTCTTAGGGAGGGAAATGATGCTCTTCCAAGGAGGCTGCCTGAGGCAGAGATAAGTGTTTTTAATTAAACGATCAAATTCCAACAAACACCTGCTTTCAGAGTGCCCTCTCCCTGTGAACAACCAGTGACACTCCTTTGTAAAACAAGAAGTAATAAAAAGTTATGTGGAAAGGATAGCTCTGAAGGTCATCTTTTTATTTAAATATTTTATGTGATACACATACAAATATAATTTCCCACAGAACACATGTAAAAACTAATACAAATCACCCTCTCAAGGACAGAGAAAACCATTTAGAAAATGTGAATACGCCATATACAGAGTCAGGCTAAGTTTTACGAGCCTGCCCAAGGAGGAAGTTTAAGAACAAGTTTTGTTTGTTTGGAATACAGATGTCATATTTACATTTTCACACAAAAGTGATATTCCTGTTCCATACTTAGTAAAATATTAACTACTATCTATAATGAAAAAGATTGCAACATTTACTAAGTAGTAAGTAAAAAATTTAGATCATCAAAGAGTGATCTTCATCTTGGCCAGATTTATATTGTGTCTGAAAATATTTGCCTTTACCCATCCACTGTCAGTGAGAACAAAGAGTATAAAGCTTTTGTGTAACAAAATTCAACAATGTTTCTAAAAATGTGCTACAATGAATTTTTAAAGATTTTCTTTTTTAGCAAAATAGCTTGGGAAAATCACAAAAATACAGTCTTTAAAATTTATAAAAATTACTTAGCTATGCAGAATATTTACATAAATCATTACTGATATGCATTTATACATCAAAACTTAAAATGTATTAGCTTTTTCAAGGAGCAATAAAAATACAATCAACCTAGGAGCCAAAACACCCCAAAAACTTTTCAAAAGGAAAAGCAAGGATATAATACAAAATTAGGTCAATTCTATATTTAATACTCAGGTAGTAAGTCACAACCACAGTGGCTTTATGACACAGAATAAACACACAATTTCAAATTCATAATTGCAGATACAGGGTCTTTCAATTTTTTTTTTTGGCAATAGAATAGTTTCCAAAATTTCATCTAATTTCCCAACTACTTATTTGATACCCATGTTAGGCACTGAGGATCTAACAGTGTAGTAGGCACAATTCCTATCACAGGAGAGAATGGAGTCTAGTGGGGTGATTTAGCTGTACTATTATAAATAGAAAATAATGCACCCTGAGATTTTTAATATTATTACTATTAAAAAGCAAATTACTATTATTTATGCATTTTGCCCTTGAATTTTCAACTGAATTTGAAGTGTTCAATATCTTCATGACAATTGAGAAAAGGGAAGGCATAATGCTATTTTTAAGGTCATACACGCAAATGTGTACACAAGTGTACACACACCTGCACACTCACAAAGAAACACACAATGCGTGTTTTTACCAAGTTAGTGTTCCAAAACTCAGTCAACTCAAGACAGAGTAAAAGGCCTCTGTCTAAGGAAACAAACAAAACTAGTAGCCCAGATTTTGCATGTTTCTTTAGATAAAAGAGTTGTTGACAATCTGCTAGATGCAGTTAAGTAGAGAATACAGGAAGCAATGTTAAAGTGTATGGAGGTCCAGGAAGCTTCATGGGTGGTTCTGTTGGGTGACTGATGAACTACATACTCTGTAAATTTGGTAAATTCAGAGCAGCCAGTTCTTTCTCTCTGGCTGCTTTTGTGAATACTATATGACTTCAGCTACAGTATCATCACTATGCCCTCAGTAAATCATGGGACAAATCTAAGCACACTCCTGGAAGCTGAGACAGTGAGGTCCTTTGCATATTATGACTCAGAAAAACTTTAAACCCAATGTGATGTGTCTCTTAAGTCTGTAAGGCTCAGGAAAAGGCAGGTCCATTGAAAACATGAACCAGTCACTGCTAGTTAACCTCTAGCTCAGACTGTGCTGACCACGTTTAGGAGTAAGATTGCTGGATGCGGCTATGCTTGGAGACTCTGGTGGAAGACGAGGTGACGGCAGAATGAGAATGGCCAACAGTTGTTAAGCTGGGCCTGGCCAGAGTGGCCTGTACCCCGGAATTGGGGGTGAGGAAGCTCTCTCTTTCCCTCATCATAACATAATCTGCATCTGCCAGATGCTGAGTGTCTTCCAAGGGCCCAGCGAGGCTACCGTTAGGCTGTAGTACTCTCTCGGTAACCATGACATTATCTTCACTAGCATAATGCTGATCTACCAAGGTAGAAGCTGGGGCATACACCCGCTCCGTCACGATCAGGCCCTGAGGCTTTCTAGGGGTCAGAATCACCATGCTTGGAGGCAGAGCAGAGTCAGTAGTGTAGGACGTTTCTGTCACTATAACATTACCGGAAGCCAAGGGATCAGGAAGGGTTGTAGCTACCTTCTGATTCTGCCTAGAAGACACAGGCCTTTCAGTGACTATTTCTTGAGTTACTGTCTCTGCATTTGCTTCATGCAAAGGTTTTGGAACCTGAAAGCTACTACCAGAGGCGTAGGTATTCTGTGAATTGACCCTCGTTTGCTCATAGTGTGAATGGGAGGGTGCCTTCGTGTCTGTTTCTCTGACAGATTTTTGCTCAATTTCCATATCTGTAAGTATTTTTCGACCCAAGCAAACTTCAGCTAAGGTCTTGAATTTAAATCCTAGATCATCTAAGGAGCAGTTATCTAGTTCGTCTTCAATATGACTGCAACAGCCAATGGAACCATGTAGAGAGTTAGTGTCTTCCTGAGCATACACCAGAAGGCAGTCTCTGGCCATGTGGAAGTCATTGTCCTCAGTGAAAGCAGCCGCTTTCTAAAATGGAAACAGACACAGGGTTAGTGACACAACTTCACTTAATAAGACTCTTATCCCAATGCTAAATCATAACCTGAGTCCAGGCAAATGCAATCTGAGAGACATGCTACAAAAAGGTCCATACTGTTAAAAAATATTGAAAACGGAGCCTCCCCAATGGAGCAGCGGTTGAGCGCTCGGCTGCAAAGCTGCCCGCAGCCTCTGCAGCCCCAGTTTGATCCCCGGCAGCCAGGCGAGGTCCCACATGGTGCGCCAACTTCTCCTGCCGCCCGCTGCTCCCCTCAGCAGGGTATTTCATCAGTCTGCCTGTTCTGTTCCCCACTCTGGCTCTGGTGAATTCTCTCACCCTTCTGCGCGTCTGACTGTACCCAGTGCTTGTATAAATAAATAAATCTTTAAAAAAATATTAAAAACGTGAAAAACAAAGAAAGGCAGAGGGACTGCATCAGATTAAAGGAGACTAAAATTTCACGACAACGAAATGGAATGCATGATGCTAGGCTGGTCCTGGGCAAGAAAATCCGTGGCACTGAAAGACTGGCTGAATTGACACATGGGATGCGTCATTCATTGTGAAATTTCGGAATTGTTCACTGTACTGTGGTAATGTAATATTGCATGTGGGGGGCAGAGGAGAAATGGGAAAACAAATAGTAAATGGCAAAATGTTAATAATTGGGTAATCTGGGTAGCATATACAACAGTTCAAAATTCCTTATAAGTTTGAAATGATTTCCAAAGCAAAAGCTGTACATATGAGCATAACCAAGATTTACTGGAGCAGGATTAGAGGAGAGAGGGGGAAATATATCAAAATTAAATAGGACATCATAACAGAGCTTGGCAGTGAGAAAAAAAAGGGCCATGGAGTGGTTTTCTTGACACTGACCACCCCAACACAAGCTAACACTTGGGGTGTGAAGATGGGGTGAATGGGAGGGGAGGAAGGTGGGAAAAGTGGGGAAACACCCCAAGCATTTGCAACCATTTAGAAGATAGGGGGAAGGAATCAAATGGCCTCCATGGAAGCCTGCCCATGGAGTCCTGACAAAACATCCTTCAGATGCTGACAGTCTAACTCTGCCCATCCCCACACTGGGGGCACAGACCTTGTTTTTGAGAAAGGCACCCAGCCCATTTCCACTTCCTAATTGCAGGCATGGGCTTCCTGACTTTGTCCAATCATCTTTCCTGTATCTTGCCTGCAATTTTTTTTTGGGTGTGGAACTCCTTAAAAGTGAAAACAAGTACTCTTATTTAGAAGAGAAAAATCAGTAACAGGTTGTATTTTTTTAGGTCACATACTTGCAACCCTCCTTTTGGGTCCATTCTTATCAAGTTGGCCCCTGCAAAAGGATTCTGCTATCTGACCCACTGGCAGGACTTAGCGCTGTGATTTGCTCCGGTGACGGAAGGAAGGAGCCACTGCCTGGTTCTGTGTTGCTGTTCCCTGCAACCCAACAATGCAGTTGTCCAGGTAAAATCTGCTCTATCTGCATGCGTCTTGGATGAAGACAACATGGTGCAGAGCAGGATGCATCAACTGGCAAAAGCACGAATGGAAGCGAGAAATAAGCCTCTGCAAGAAGATCTGTGAGATCGTCTGTTACCACTGCATAATTTAACTGACTGACTCAATGGCTCACAACTCTCTTTCCTCATTGGCAGAGAGCATGCTCTTAAAAATAGAACAAAGTCCCATTTTGATTCAAGGCAATGATTACCCTAAGACAATACTCGCATAGAAATAGTTTTGTTTCTTCCACATGTAAACACCAATGCTGACCTGAGAGAAATAATTTCTTAAGAATTCCTCGTTCACTGCAACAGTGTTGGCTCGAGCTCCAATGGCTGCAACAGAAGAGGTCATGTCTTTGGAAGCTGCTATGAATTGTGTGTTCATTATGGTTTGAGTGCCCGCCAGGGTTCCGATGGTCTCTGTAACCTGGGCAGCACCACCAGAAGTAAAGTTTCTATGTTCTTCCCATCTCCCATTCATCTCACTCTTGGGCTGCACTTTGCTGAAGGAAGCAGAGCTACTTCCTTTGATGATGGGGACACTGGGTGAGGTACCACCTCCAATTCTATGGCCCAGGTCGACGCTATCGGAGCGATTTGCTGTCAGAAGTGGTGGCATGTCCTGTGAGACCAAACACAGTTGAGAACTGAGTCAGAAGGATGAAGGGTCAGGATGTTTGAAGAATCTGAGCTAAGAAGGCATATTAAAGGAATATGCTTTTTCCAGGAACAAATAAGGAAAAATATTTTGGGTTGAATAACTTCTGCTTAGACTTATTAAAGATCTCCCAATTTTCCCTTCTTGTTTTGTTAGCTGATTATAACCTCAGGCAAGAACTTTAAAATATGATCTCAGCTCATGTATTTTACTGGCACTCAACTTTCCTCTAGAGTTCACTGTCTCCTTCTATGGCTACAGAATCCTCATTTTGTTTTCCTAGCTGGATACAATACAAAATACTGGCTCAAATAAAGACTGTATTTAAATATTTAACCCCCCACTACTACTGATTCTGGTTCACATGATTTTAAGCAGAAATGGCTTATTATGCATTTCTCATAAGTGTTATTAAAAAGCAGTTCTTCACTTCCTCTAACTGCTGGTTAGAATGTGAGGGCAGCTGCTACATCTTGAGCAGGAGGGGAGCAGGGAATGGGGCTCGTACATGTAGGACAAAGGAGAGAGGAGGACCCTGGGGCCACACTGCGAAGGAATCATTACCATGGTCTTGAACTGCCCACTTCTATATTTCAGCCACTGAGTCACTCTCTGACTCCTGATGACAGTTCATTAGCAAGTTACTCTATTACCTAATGCTCATTGCCGATGGCCACGTGACACTGGGGTGAAAAGGCAGTAGAGACAAGGGGAGATGACTGGTAAGTAGGTAGGAGAGGACAGAGACTTTGTAATATTTTCTTTCTGTCATTGGGGTCTGAGCTTTACTTTGCCAGCCATGGCAAAGTCGGTGGAGGGGAAGAGGAGTTGGACCGCCCATTTAACACAAAAATTTCTATCTTAAAGCCCCACACATTCTTCGTTTCTTTAACCTTTATTCTACATTCTGAGTCAGTATATGACTCATATGTTGTTGTCAGACCCCTTTGTGAATGTGTATTGTGCATAACCGCTTCATGCGCGCAAGACCTAGAATGTCAGAGACACTTTCCACGGCCGCTTTAAGATTAGCAAAGAAGACAAATTCCATTGATTTTCTGATTTTCTAACCTTGTCTTCAGGTGGTGCCCCTTCGTTATTCCAAGGATGTAGCATCTCTATAGTGCCAGGAATGGGCGTAAAGCCTTTGATGTCCACTCTACACCGGCACATCAGCAGAAGAAGCGGTACCACTGGACAGAAACAACATTGATTACAGAGAAGGTGAGGCCAGTGTATTTCTATATTTGTACTGCATAATTTTGGAATTTGTATATCACTTCCAGAGTTCACTCTTCATTTATGTACATCCCAAGTTTTCTTTTCCCACCCTATTCCAACCTCACCAAGCTTGTTTGGGGTGAGTTATACCAAAATCTAGAGGCAGGATGAGGAGAATGAGGAAGTCTTATAGATTCGGAGGCTTTGTCCAACACAAGAGGTTGTTTGTGGTTACTGAGTAGTGCACCAAGACTGGATTTGATAGGATCCAAATAATCAATACTGACTTAAAGTTACTTTTTAAAAAACCACTTCAATTTTTAATAGAGGAAAATTCACTACTTAAAAAAAAACATCAAGAGCCCCAAAGGGTAGAAAAAAATTTAACATATTCAAATACTTTAGGACATTGGAACTTCTGAAATATTTCACCCTGGAGTAGAATTTAGCACCAGGCATGGCTCACTGAGGTTTCAATTAACTTTAAAATTAACAAAGTACAACTCTCTAAAACAATTCTACATTGAAAACCCTTAGAATATATGTAACATTACATTTAGAATTCAATAAAATTTCAGGGCTCCCTCCTTTAATCTTATTCTACCTCTAGGAAGAAATGAAGTCAGCATTGGCCCCTTGATGAATGTACTAAAGCATTAAGGGCACTTGCAGCAGGCCACCTCAAATTAGCTTTTATTGCCACTCCCATTCAGCACTTCCAAAGATAAATTGACTCCACCCTAGATTCCTTTTTATGTAAAATAGTTGAAAGCATAGTAACCACAGCTCTGTGTATAATAAAAAGATTGAAATTACCAGGGGCAATTGAGCACCAATTTAACAAATTCCAACAAAAGATATCAGGGGCCTTGTGTCAAGTGCCTCCTTATGCCCTGGGGAATCTGAGACAGAACTTAGTGCATAGAATCCTGGAGTAAAAGATGTCAGTCATCCAAGTTGCCCTACCTACAAATTTGGTAAGCTGAGACAAGTCATTTACCTTGAGTCTATATTTTATGCCATAAGATAGAGAAAATGGTATAAAAGTACATTTTAAACTGCTGAGGTTGTGCTTCAACTGAACATCTCCCACTACTAATTTGATAAGCTCCTCCTCTGTCACTTGAATGGCCCAGGCAGCCTAGAGGCAGCCCTGCCCATGCTCAGCAGTCCATTGGAGCAACATTCCACTTGACTCCTTGACCCTGGGTTGTAGTCCTTTGTCTTCTGTGACAGGAAACCTGAGGTCTGGGGGGCATGCAGGGAAAGCAGGTGGCTGTCAGTGCTGGGAAGCACAGACGTGCTCAGAGGGTCTGGTTACTCTAAGAGCTGGTGAAGCCAAGGAGAAGGTATTGGAAGGAGGAGGAGGCGGGGCTCTGACAAGCTGAATGTGCAAAGCAAGGATCAATAGGAATAAAATGAGTTTGTAGAACAACCCTATATCCATAATCCAAATTCATGCAACCAATCTTTTCTGAATGGTCTAGGCACTGGGGGCACAGCAGTGAAATACAGACAACATGCCCCCCTTAGAGAACTTGTCAAAATGGAAACACCAACATTTTATGCTAAAATGTTGCTGAAGAGCATGCATAATAACCTTGGTGGTTTAAATCAGGAAAAATGGTTTAAATTGTGAAGAATTCTGCAATAGTTTTGCTGCATTTATCAATGATCAATTATCATTAGTCTACTCACTTTTCAAGTGTGGTTAAAGAACAACACTAAAGAAATCAATAATGACCATAGTAACAAAACATTAATCAGTACACTTAAATAACTAACAGAGCTAAAGTGGCTTTTAAATACTTACTTAGCAAGAGCAGAATGGCCAAAATTATGAGGGCAATTGCTTGGGATCCCAGGCCAACAGAGGATTGGAGTATCTCTTTCGTACAGTCACTGCCCTCCCGGCACTGACAGACAGTGAGTTCAAGGATCTGCTTCTCAGGGCAACTGTAGTCCTTAATGTCTGAGATCAGGAACTGAATTTCACTTCTCCCAGGCTTTAGTTCCTTCTGTTGCAGTTGCACACTGGTACCTGTAAAGGTAGGAGGCAACAGGAAATAAAATGAGTGATAACCAAGGAAGGGGCGAGGTTATATTTTGGAAACATTTTTACTTGCTAATAATACCTAGCTCCAGTTCTAAGCTTTTTTCTAGCTTAATGTCTCTATTGAATACCTACCAAGTGCATGTTAAAATTATCCAGATACTGCAAAACAGACAAGTTAATAGTGAAGGGTTGGATATAGGAATATTACTTTTATGACTAATGTGTGTGCCTAGAAAATGCTAGGACTTATCCTATGTACTGGGAACATGGTAACAAACAACTGAGTTAAATGAAAGATCCATTGAACAGCCTTTATTTTATCATTTATTCAATAATGCAACTATTATTGTCATACTTGAAAGTTTTTAGTGGGCACAACTCTGGTTGCTCAGAGCACAGTGAAGCTATCTGCAGCCTCTGCAGCATGAGTTCGATTCCCTTCCGGCCAAGGTGTTACCTACGTGGCACAGCAGATCTCTCCTGTCTCACCTGTTGCTCCCCTCAGCAGTGTATTTTGGTCAGTCTGCCTGTTCTGTTCCCCACTCTGTCTCTGGTGAATCCTCTCACCCACCACACCTTTGGCCTGTACCCCAGTTCTTGTATGCATCAATAAATAAATTTTTTTAAAAAAATCCACCAACAACTACTTCTGGAGTAATATGGAGAACACCCAGCTAGCTTTAAGATGTTAAGATGATTGTCCTTTTCTCCTTCTTCTGTTAATCCAAATAGAGTATTTAGGCAGATGATATACTATAGTTAAGTTCAGAACCTCTTTTCATAACCTCTTTTAAAAAGCTATACTGGAAATATACTTTACAAGAAACACAGCCTATATTACAGAGGCTTTACATATCTATCATGTTTAATATTTAAATACGTCAGCCAGTGATTTTGCTTACTTTCGTAGAGTACTATTTTCCATTGTTCTGCCATTCCAAGTGGTTTGTCAATAACAGAGAAACTGAAGGGAGCACTATTTTGGGGTCCATCCAGATCTTCTGCAGTCACGTTCACATATGGTCTATCATCACAGATAGATTGCACTGGGTTGACCAGTTTGGGACAATTGTCATTGATGTCTTCAACATTGATAGCAACAGTGCCAGTGACAGTTTTCCTAGGGTAATCTTAAAAGTTAAGAAAGAAAAAAAGTGGTATATTCTGGTTATAATGCTGACAACAGTCATAATTTGAATTCTTTTACCAATATTATAAGAAGGAACTAACAAATTGGGATACTTCCTATTTTAGATATGTTTTCATATCCAGATCAAATAATGTCTTTTAATCCACTCAATAAGTAGAAATGTGAAGGTTTAACTAGTAATCTGTTTTTGGGCCTCCCCGGTGGCGCAGCGGGTTGAGCACAGCGCTGTGGAGCTGTCCACAGGGAGATACCCACATGGCGCAGTAGACCTCTACTGTCTCACCCACTGCTCCCCTCAGCAGTGCTTTTGGTCCGTCTGCTTGTTCTGCTCCCCACTCTCTCTGGTGAATCCTCTCACCTTCCAGTGCCTCTGGCCTGTACCCAAGCTCTTGTATAAATAAAATAAAATATCTTTAAGAAAAATACATTTGTTTTATCTATAAAATCAAAAATTCTCCAATGTTGGAAAATAAAATCTGAACATATATAACCAAGAAAAATTTCCATTTAGTAACTTACCTTCTGATACAACCAAAATCTTTACAGTGTATGTACCATTTCGGACATATCTAGATTCAAAATCAGGAATTTTTGCAAGCCTCATTTCAGATGTGACAGAATCTATAGATATCCAATTGTCGATATCTTCCAGTTTTGAATACCTTTTATAAAAGAAACAAAATTAATTGTGAATTCTGGATAAATTGAGACCTCATATATACAACTTTTAAGTTCCAATTTTGCTTTATTATATATGTTCTTTTTACAGGCATTAATGGAGTGTTTTTAGTTTTTAAAACTATCCTAGCAACTGGTTTCTAACACTAAATGATTGAGAGGTAAAGGCCCACACCTTTTTAGAAGTATGTTAGTTAGCACACCATGCCCACTGCCAAAGCCCCAGTAATCCTCAGCACAGCACACTGAGCCTCCTCCTCCCTCTCTGCTTCTCAACCGGCCTTTCCAGTTTGGTAGCCTCCTTTCTGCAATCACATTTGTGGGGCTTGTTTTGATTTAGCTTTGTCTTTTCCTTTTTTTGTTTATATTCCACATGAGTGAAATCATCTCTTGTCTTTCTCTTTCTGATTACTTTCATTTAATATAATCCCTTCCATCTCCATCCATATTGCTGCAAATGAAAAGCCTCTCTTTTTATTGCACGTTACACTTTCTTCCTTACTTGTGTAACACACCCAAGACATACATGCAAAGACAACCATCCCTAGCCTACTAACCTAGGAGGTATGCAAGTTGCTCAGCAATCTGTCTTACAGTTTTTGATCTAATCTCCCTTAAATTTATGATAAATCTTTGGAGAATAACTTAGTTACCCAAGAAGAACTGATATTTATTGGCATGTTATTACCATTTGAAAATGTCAACCTTAAAAAATTACATTTGGATTTTTGCATGTATTTCTGAACTTCATGTTTGGAGTTTTAAAGCTTGGATTTAGTTTCTGTCAATGGTTTTCAATTTCAAACTTACAATAAAGGTGAGTTTTAATACTGAGGATCACAGTTCACAATGGAATATTTTTAATTTCATTTAAGGAATTTTTTAACCATTTTCTGTTGTAAAAACGAGACATTAAGTAGAGTGGCAGCTCACATGTGATGTTAAGTATCATAAATGATGCATATGAATCATCAGTAAAATAGTTATTTATGACAAAGCTAAGAATATAAATCTGTCACCATTGTCAGCACTTCTAAGTAGCAACCACTAAATAGGTGAACATAGGAAAATTATTTAATGTAGCTGTGCTTACCATTCCTTATCTATAAATTAGCAGATCTGAATTGATTTTTAAGATGTTTCTCATTCTCAAATTCTATGATTATAAGTTATTTCAACAAAAGTGAACATAGTTCACTTTCTCTAGACAGAGAAATATTTTTGATATATTCACAGCTCTTAAGAAAAAAAAAAAGTAGCCAAAATTAGTTAGGTGGGGAAATAGAAGTGTCAATACAATAGCTACAGTATTACTGGTCAGAGTTAATTAGGACATATTAGTCTCTCAATGGATAGCAGTGAGAAATTATCTTATGGAATGTTCATTCTGAATTCTGGGGATTCTGGGACTGCCTGGGAAGAATTAGAGGTGTGAAATAAAAATTAGCCTACAAAGCTCAGGAGAAGCATAGCTGGTTTCTGCAGGTAGGATAGGCAAAAAAGGGTCACCAAGACATTGCAGAAAACACAGTAGAAGCTGTCGATATTATTTTGGGAAAAGGTTACTTGCTACTATTGGCTGATGAATCCCATTAAAAGGAGGAGGAAAGATTACTGAAGAGTTCTCTCTACTTTCCCATTTACTATGGTTGCCTGTCATCTAGTACAATCTTTTCTGAAATGCTGGCATGTAGTGACTGACACAGGCATAAGCAGAATCAGCAACCAAATAAATCTGGAGCCAGCAGAGGAAAAGTGTTGTGTCTGTGCGGAAGGCAAAGATTCTTTAAATTCAACTGGAATCACTGTAAAAGAGCTCCATAAATAATAGCTCTTCAGAGTCTTCTTTGCATGGCTTCGCTTTGAGATTTAAGATGTAAACATTTACCTTGAAAATGTAAATGCATCATGCAACCCTAAGGTGTCACTATAGAGTAGGCACAATACAGTCCCTTCTAGCACAGTGGTGGTATCTAGTATGTTCTCAACTACACTAAGACACCTGGTATAGAAGGTCCATCAATTCCTGAACCAAAGCAGACTGCTTTCAATGAAGACTAATTCCCAAAATTTATGTGCAAATAAAACTGCCTTCCTCATACTAAAATACATTATGCAATTATTTTAACCAAACTTGTGTAAAATAGAATCCGCAGTAAATTTTACTTGCTCCTTTTTTTTTTTTTTTTACCTCTGATGTTCATTCTGGATATAAAGAGAGACTTCAGAATGTTTTCCTCTAAACTGTCTCTGTTTCCTTCAGCCTTCTCTAGGCAGAACTGTCTGCACTGGGGGACACAGCCTCAGTCTCATACTAGGCAGATCCTAGGCAGTGCCTTTCAATTGCAGGCTTTCTAGGAAATTTAATTCACAGACCTTTGGGGGTTTGAAGGAGTTTGAAGGAGTTAAGTGTTCAAATTTTATTATAATTTTTGAAAATAGGCACTTAAAGTAATTTAAAATGAGGAAAAATATTCACAACTTTCTCTTACCTTACATGGGCTACCTGTCCAGTATCTTCATCAAAAGCTTCAAATTTTCCAATTACTTTGCTTAGGCTTGATTTATCCATGCCCTCGCTAACTTGAACTGAGACTGTGCTGCTTTTTAAAAGAAAACCTTCTTTCACATTTTTCACCTTTACTTTGATGGGAACGGATACAGGTTTATATTTATTCAAAATTGACTTGTGGAAAGCTGCTTTGTTGGTGACAATAACACTCAAGTCAAGATGCTTAATTTTTTCATAATCTACTTCCTAGAGAGGCAAAATCAAAGAGAGTTATTTCAAAAGAGAGTCGAACACATTGAAAACACATACATGGGGTGGTTTTAATGTTATATATAATTTAACACTTGAGAAATACAGCAGCACTGAGTATTCCAACACTTGATATCATGTAATTTAACAGTCTTTGTCAATTGGATGACTATTTTATGTTTAATTTTTAGAAAACCTGTCAAACTGCATATATCATTTGGTCTCCACCAGTTCCATTTTCTCTATATTCTTGCCTTTATTTGTTACTGTTAGACTGTTGATTATGGCCCTATCTAATAGGTATGCAGTGGTATCTCATGTAGCTTTAATTTGCATTTTCTCTAATAACTAAGGGTGTTGGGTATCTTCTTCTGAATTTGCTATTTGTATATCTTTTTTGTCTTTCTTTCAGTGAAATCTGATTACTGCCCTTATAATTTGGAAGAATTCTTTACAGAATCAAGGGAGTAAGTTTATAAGTTTCTTAATCTGTAGCTTTCATTGTGATACTAATTTTACTAATTTTTTTCCCCAAAGCTGTGCAAGTTTACTTCCATATTATTTCACTCTGAGCTACAGAAAATAATCCTCATTCTACTCTCTACTTACGTGTAGCAATTTACAGTGGTATGATGTGCCCCTTAAAAGTTTTTATTTTTTTTAATTAATTAATTTAAATATTTTATTTTATATAATTCTTACATCTTTTTTCATCTTTGCACAATGTATGCATTTTCATTTTGGTTATATTCCCCATACAATTGCACCTCCCCTTATTTTGACTCTAGTCCTTCCTTTCCCCACCCCTCCCCCCAAGTGTGTCTCTGGTTTATAGTTGCTTGTTGATTTTGATTTTTACTTTGTATTGATTAGTCTTTTTCCTGGTCTCTTATTTAGTTTAGGTTTTCTACATTCCTGCTATGAGCGAGACCATAATTTTACTAATTTTTGTCCATGTCCCTCTTGGTAGAAAAAAAGTGCATCCTTTTTTGGGTGCTGCCATGGCACACTGAGACTACTTCAACAGTGTGTCTGTCAGTCATCATTTAATGACTGTTTCTGCTTATGTAGTTACTGGATTTATATTTAAAGTTTCATAGCAGGATTGAACCTATAATCAATGACTAAACACAGTTAACCTTTCTTTAATGTGTTATGCATTTATATTATCATTATTCCTCTTTCTGCTGTTAAGATTTCACTTACTCTGCCACATATAATAGGTTTTTTGTAAAAATTTGGAAATCACTTTTGGTTTGTGTGTAACTTAATGGAATAGTATTTTGAAAGCTGTTATTTTCCATTTTACTTAAAATCTGACAAGTCAATTTTATCATAAACCTTTTAAAAATAGATTGATGGTCTTCCTTACTTTGTCAGGTAAAAAAATCTATCAAGTGATATTTGTTTAAAGCATTCTGTGGTGCTTATGAGTTCCAATGTATAAGAACCATATGCTTAATAAGACAATTTAACTAAACTTCTTCACAGATTTAACTAAGCAGAAGCAATTAAAATGCTGCATTTCCAAAAGCCACCCTTATAGTACTTACATAAGAATTACAGTGCATTTTTGTTATAAAGGCAAGTTCCTGAGCCAAATCCAATCAGAATGATTGATGATGGGGCCCCAGGAATCTGCATTTTGGCATGTAGCCATTCCAGGCATTTCTTAGGTACACTTAAGCTTGAGAATAATTGAATTAAAGCTTTATCATGCTTTTATAGTTTTAGTTTTAAGATTTTTTTAAAAAGATTTTATTTATTTATTACTGAACTGGGGTGTAGGCCAGAGGTCAGGAGGTGGGTGGAGAGCAGAACAGGTGGATCTACTGAAATATACTGCTGAGGGGAGCAGTGGGCAAGACAGGAGAGGCCTGTTGCACCATATATGGGTTAGCTCCCTGACTGGGGATAAAACTCAGGCCTTGGAGGTGGTAGTGCTGAGACTTAACCGCTAGGCCACCAGAGAGGCCCTTTAAATGTTTTCAGTGAGTTTTAGCTTTACTGTTACATCGATCCATTAGGTGGTAGTAAGTTGAGGAATACTCAGGAGAGGCAAGAGGTCATGATGTGGGGACACTGAAGTCAGACACAGGTCAAAGCAAGACTGAAAGTATGCCACGCAATAATGATGCTGTTGTCTGCTGTCTGGCTAGGCTTAGCGGCCCTGACCTGAATTTGAACTATAGTGTGAGCACTAACTAGCCACAGAACTCAGGTCTGTCTCCTACCTGAAACAATTATGGTGCCAGTAAACTGAGTATGTAAAGTTCTTGCAAATATTTGGAGCTAAAATATATCAGTTTCCTCCTCTACTAACTTCTTCTATTCCAGTTTTGAACAGAAGCACTTACCTTAATAAGGGTCACAATTCCTTCATTAGTTTCAGCATCAGTTTCTATGTGGAAATAACCCCCTTCATTTCCTGACACAAATGTAAAATTTGCTAACCAATTATCAGAGCCAATTTCATCTGCATCAAACACTTTTATGCGTATAACTTCTACATTGGCTTGATTTTCTTCAACTTCCCCTTCAAACTGTAAAACACAAGCACACAGATATTTATTTTAATGTAACACAAACAAAAGTGATATATTACTAGTTAGGACTAAAATACGAACAAGTAGATAACTTGTTATAAAAGTAATAGTTACCACTTCATTTTGTACCACAGGTATATTGTCATTGACATCCAAAATACGAATCTGAACTTTAGCTTGTTTTGCTGGTCTATCCGTTATTTGTACATTCTCGTTTCTTGCATCTACTGTCAAACTGTAGCTGCTGTGTTCCTGCAGAGCAATAAAAAATAGCCACCTGGGGTGAAAATGAATCACTTTTAAATCTGTTTTCCTGATTGTAGTCCACTTTATCACCAAAGGAATTAACCAAAGTATATTTTACTCATAAATGTTTCATGATCTGCTGTTGTTTGCGTAAAGTTGTTGTTTATTTGCATTCAGAGCTTTTCCAGATGGACAGAAAACATTAGCAGAAGTTGTTAATGGCCAAATTCTTAAATATGTTATTGGTGATGTTATTAGGAGCGAGTCTCTTCTTAAAACTGTCTGTGCACAAGACTGCTGTTCAGTATGTACTTTTCTGTAGGAGGAATTGCCTCTCTGCCCCACACTACATTTTCAACAAAAGTCAAAGTGTGAAAATATTATTTCCAAGAAAATTTGGCCAATAAAGATAAAACTTGGTGAACTTTGTCTAGACATCCCGTTAGATATGATTCTTAGAAAATTATGTTCTAAAAATGACATTTTAGGACAGCCAAAAAAAAGGTTTCAGATATTACTGCCAAGGGAACCCTTAGTTTCTGCATGATCCCCTTATAATGGCCCCGTTCAATGTACCTAGAATTTAGGGGGCTAAGCAGCCAGTTCCTGTGCATAGGGGTCTTGTGTGGGGATGAACTGCTCAGGGAAAGGCAGGTCAGCCCAGGCTCTGGAGCCAGCTGGCTCTTTCAATCCCAGCTTTGTCACTCACTGGCCATTTTGAACATACATGTAATCCCTCTGACGTTCAGTTTCCTTTTGTATAAAAAAGGAATAATAATTGGCTTTGCCTTAAGGGTTTCTAGGTGGATTACATGGATTAATTATGTAAAAGGTAAGAATAATATATGAGGGCCTCCCCGTGGCACAGTGGTTGAGCGCTGGGTTGCGAAGCTGCCCGCAGCCTCTGCAGCAACGGTTTGATCACTGGCCGCCGGGCGAGGGTCCCAAATGGCGCGCAGACCTCTCCTGACGCCCTCCCGCTGCTCCCCTCAGGAGTGTACTTTGTCCATCTGCCTGTTCTGCTCCTTGCTCTGGTGGATTCTCTCACCCTCCCGCGCTTCTCACTGTACCGAGTGCTTGTATAAATAAATAAATAAATCTTAAAAAAAAAAGAATAATATATGACATGAGGTGAATGTCCAGTAATAACAGCCATTACTATTGGCTAATTTTTTCATACTTCAGAGACAGCAGCTTGTTAAAAAAATTATGCTATGCATTCAAAATACTAAATTTTATGTGAAAAGGTACAGAGCAAAATTTTAAAAGTAACAGTACTCCTGATTTTACAAAGATGCCAGTAGAAATGTTAGGCACAATCTGGGCGGAGTCAATCATTTTTCCAAATAATACAAATTCACTGCCTGCACTGGATGATGATTTATATGTGGTGACAATGTTCTTGAATCATCAACATTCCACTCATTGTTATGCATGTATGTAGCAAACGTGAAAATACACATATGGAAAAATCTTCTCTCTTCCTTTTTCATTTAAAACTTCCCCTTGGAGTTAGAAATAAAAAGTGAAATGCTTGCGAGAACAGCCTTTCTAGGAAACCTACTCAAATTTTCCTCTAATATGAGGTTTACAATAATTCTTTCCTTTCCAAATAATTCTATTACCCTAAGTACGACTCCTATTTCCATTTTCCCCCTCTCTCTATTATAGTAGAAAGGACTCCTGATGTTTTACTATATAACCCCAAATTAAGGAACATTGCTTTAGAACGCTGTAGCAAACAGAAACCTGACTGGAGAGGCCTTAGAACAATGCTGTCTTTGCGTAATTTTAAATTTTCTAGCATTTAAAAGGTAAAAAGAACAGATGATACTAGTTTTAAACAAATATGTTTAACCCACAGTGTCCAAAATATTATTTCAACATATAATCAAAAAAAATTATTAAGGTGATAGTTTGTGTTCTTTTTTCCTCATACTAACTCTTGTCATCCTGGTGACTATTTTATACTTACAGCGTATCTCGATCTGGACTAATCACATTTCCTGTGCTCAATGGCTACATATGACTAATAGCTGCCATACAAAACAGCATAAACCGATGAGAGGATAATTCCAAAAGTCATTCTATGAATGAGGAACATAGAACAAAGTCGGAAAAATAAAAAAAGAAATAGAGAGGAGAAACTGGAAAGAAATGAAGAGAATTTAAAAGATGAGCAACACAAAATGTTATTTTACCTCTCTGTCCAAGTTACTAATGATTGTATAAATCTCTCCTGTATCTTTATCCAAGTGGAATGCAGCAGCAGGTTGCTGAGATATGATTCTATAAGAAATTTTAGAATTTCGAGTATTGGGCTCATCTGCATCAGTTGCGTTGATTTTCATCACAAGGGTATCTGATATTAGAAACAGGGGTGTCCAGTTGAAACTCAACTTTCAGCATATTTGTATTTATCGTGTCATTATTTTATTTATAATTTTAGCTTGTTCAAAAGGAATTTCATGTATTTGTCAAAACCCCAGTTACCAAGATCAAAAACATTAACCAAATGAGGAAATAAGTGTAAATGGAATATAGTAGCTGGAAAAACAGGATGAGGGCAAGGCCTTTGTTATTACATTACAATTCTTAGGGTGAAATCCTAAAAATGTGCTATAGAGGGCTAAAAATTTGTTTGTAATAGGTCTAATAACCAACACAAAGAGAAGAACAAATAGCTACAAACACATGCTTATTAAAATACAAACAATTTAGGAGACATAATAGTTTTTTATTTTATGATCAAAGAGAAATCTCTCCTGCAAGTCTTGATAAAGAGCACTATATTGAACAATATTGTCAATAAACCTGATAGCAGAAATAATATGTCAAAGATCAGCAAACTGAACTGACTTGGCTAAAGTCAACCAGTCACCTGCTTTTGTAAATAAAGTTTTATTGGAACACACTCACACCTATTTGCTTAAATATCATCTATGGCAGCTTTCCTGCTATAGGGCAGAATTCAGTGGTTGTCAGAGGGACCCATTCTATCGCATTAATCTGTCCTATTTGTTCTTAAGGTAAAAAAAAACAAAGCAAAACCACATATGTCTCTGGAACTCATCACAAAAAAAGCAGTTCCAAACCCACAGCAATAGTTATTACTGTTTGTTCTGTGGGTAATACCTAGATGTCATTAAGACGCAGGATTTAGTGTTCAGTTACATAATGGGGATAAAATGACCTGGGCATTCATTCAAAAAAATACTAAGACTCTTACGTGCTGCACTCGATTCTTCAACAGACCCAACAAAGACCTCCTGTGTGAATACTGGTTCGTTGTCATTGATATCAAGAACTTTAATGCGGAGTTCTAATGGTTCTTCCAGGCTTTCTCCTTGTTCATTGAAAGCATAACCAGTGAGCTGAAATTGTGACATGAATAACAGAAGGAATTGAAGTTAAGGTTATTAAACTACCATAGTATCCAAACAAGAAAGCAATCATAACTGTTACCCCCAAAAGCTACAAACCAATAAATGTAATATATCATTCTTCTTACCAGAAAATAAGGTGTTTCTTCTCGATCAAGAATCCTGGTAATGTTCAAATCTCCAGTGTCTTTATTAAAGACAAATATACCAAAAGGTGGCTCTGTAATCCCTTTTCCAGTATATCTGTATGTGATTTTTATGAGTTGTTCTTCTGCAATATCAGAATGTATCTAACATAAAAAACAACAGAGGAATATTTAAGTTAAAACTGTAACTTTCAAGAAATCATTTTTAATGGGAAATTTCCCTCCAAAGCTATGAATCCCATGGGCTAAAACCCTCAGGGAGCTTGCACTCTGAGGAGGGAGCCAGACAAGCAAGTAGCATCCAACATAATGTCCTGGAGTAGAATGTGTTACCAAACAAGCTGAAAGGGGATCGAGAGAGATGGGATGAGCCATGAAAGGAGTGACACTGGAGCAGAGGCTTGAGGCTATGGAGTACTGCAAAGATCTGTGGGAAGGGGATTCTAGGTAGATGGAAAGGCAAGTGCCTATCTATCTATCTATCTATCTATCTATCTATCTAAAATATATAAATATATAAATTAAATCTATAAACATATATTTTATATATAAACTAAATTAACATATATATGTTAAATTTGCCAATGACACTCCATCTTCCAGAATGGGAAAGAAGATGTTCATGTTGGTACCTTCTGCTAAAAATTAAGTTGACGTTCAAAGTTATCTGGAATATCAAAGACTCACTAAGTCCACAGTATAATTTTCCTTAAGCTTAAAGAGAACATAAATGTTCTCTCACACCATATTTTAGTAACATGCACATATTTCCTATTGGCACCTTGGCAATTGGGTTCTTTCTGGACAGATCCTCTCCCTCCCGAAGATTCACAGGTGCAGTGATCCAGGCACGCTTCTGCCGCACTAAGTGAGTGTGTCTAGGAAGCAGCTTATTTTCATTTCTTGTGTTCAAGACCTATAACAATAAAATATTGCCAAAAAATTATTAAGTATCCTAAAGCAGTAGACAGTAAATTATAATTTACTAAAATTTGAAACAGTTATATGAAGTGCATTTCATATTTCTTTAAGGTTTCTTTTTCAAAAAGGACATGCATATATGCTAGCAAACTGTATAGGCATTCAGAGATTGTCTCCAAGCCAGTAAAGCAGTAGAGTTTTGTTATTACTAGTAAGCAAAGATTTCCCAGCGTAAAGGTTAAAAAGGCTAAAGAGTATTCATTGACCTCACAAATGGAGAATTTAAAAATAACATATACCATGCCTATTAATTTTGTTCTTTTAATTGAAAATGTCATTTCATTTTAAGGAAAATTAAGGCTAAATCTTTTTTAAGATTTTAAAAGGCTAAATCTTAACCTGATGATATCAAATTGTCAGGAAATGAATTTATTGTTTTAAAGATTAGCAAAGGACTAAATTGTCTATTTTTTGCTTTTAGAACCTTTTAAGTGGAAAACTATAAATTATCAGTTGGCTAATAGATAAGTATGGATTTTATCCAAGAAAGTCTCAGTATAGATTTTCTATTGTGTTAATAACTAGTACCTTACATTTATCATTTTACTCATTTTGTTCGTTAATCTATATACCATGTATGTTATTTCAAAATATTTACAATGATTAGTATCAGGTCATTGATTTTCTTTCTTTGTTTTTAGTTGATAAATAAATTTCTATAACTTAAAACTTTCTAAAACTTGAATCATGTAACAAATTAAAATAGCACTAAAGTTTATAAGTAAAATGCAAAGTATTATTTTTTCACCCAAACTTTACTGTTAACAGCTTGATGAATATCTTTTATTACTCTTTCTTATGACCACACAGTTCCACATGTATAAAGAAGGTCTTTTTCCATAAAAATGTAATTACAGTATACATTTCATTCTGCCTCTTGATTTTTTCATTCAGGATCTCGTTATGGACATGCTTCTATGTGCCATAAATTGTTTTACCATTCCCTAGAGATGGGCATTTATATCGTCAAAACATGTTTCACTCAACATCTTTGGATATATGTTCCTGTGCACTGCTTGATGGGAATAACAGGGTCCAAGAGAGTTCTATTTTTAATTTGGTAAGGCACGAATTGTTTTCTATGAAATTTAGCTTTTCATTCCAAAAGACAGAAATGATCCCCCTGGGTTCCTTACCTCTAAATGGAGTCCACTTCCAAAGGCAAAACAGATCTGGAAAACAAAATTATTTGTTGTTTTATAGACTTTATCACTCAATTCAATTTAGATATTTTGTTAATGAAACACCTACCACCTAGGAGATAACAGACAGTAGAAAAAAAAGTTTAACCACCAGTACTATCTTTTTTTGCTAAAAGGAAGCAAATTTTAATTTTCTCCTTTGCTTCCCACTGACAACCACGGCCAGAGGAATGAAGCTAAGTTCTACGGGGGGATGAATTTACCAAGCTAGTAATGGCTTGAGATCTGTATCTCATGTATCCCAAAGCAGTGCTTTCAATATTTATTTTCAAAGGGAGAATGGTATGAAAAAGAAGTGAATGCAATGCTGAAGGGATAATCTCTCTTTGTGTGTTCTCTAGGGGAAAACTTTTTTTTAAAAGATTTATTTATTTATGCATACAAGAACTGGGGTACAGGCCAGAGGTGTGGGAGGTGAGAGGATTTACCAGAGACAGAGTGGGGAACAGAACAGGCAGACTGACTGAAATACACTGCTGAGGGAAGCAGCGGGTGAGACAGGGGAGGTCTGCAGTCCGACGTGGGCGGCTCCCTGGCTGGCCGGGGATCGAACCCGTGCTGCAGTGGCTGCGGACTGCCTCACAGGCGCTCAACCCCTTGCGCCACCAGGCAGGCACTGAAATTTGAATTTATTCATGCCTTCAATTTCCCAAGCTCCTACAACATGCAAAGTAGCAGGATGCTATTTTCCTCTTGGATACTTACATGTTGGGGAGGACAAAGACAGGTTGTGATAAGAGTTGTAAAGGCAACTGAAGAGTGGTAGAGAGTGGTTTAGGACTGAGGGTACAGGGAGTCATTCAAGAGACATTATAGCTGCACAAAGACTGGAATGGAAAGAGGAAGCACTTCAGGCAGAGTCCTGCAAAGGGAAGAGCCAGACCACGAGGTAGGAATGGTAGTAGGAGAGCAAGGTTCAAGGCTGCTGTGGCTAGAGGGGAGTCAATGGATATGAGATTGGTTTTCGTGTACTTGTAATCTTATTTTTTGATCTGGTTGCTGGTTACATGGTCTATCCAGGTTCTGAAAATTCAGTGCACTTACATTGTCTGCACTTTTCTGTATGTGCTATACTAAAAATAAAAATTTTTGTGCATCTTAAAGCAGAGGGTTTCTTGGTATCTAACAGTTCTGCCACCTGCATATTCACAGCACCTTCTGTATTAATCTGTTTTCAGACACTTAATAAGTCATGATGAAATGAAATATTTGTTCCATAATCACTGTACAAAAAGCCCAAGAGAATTGTTCCAACACTTTGTTCATTGTGAAATTGTTTATTTGACTAAGGAAACAGTTAAGATCTTAACTACTCCTTGAAAGTAGTAATTTGGATGTTTCCTTGGGACTCTATCTCAGCATATTCTTAATTTAGAGCAGTGGCTTTCCACTAAGAGAGAATGTTTGCACACACCCCTCACCGACACTGGGGTCTCACGGAATATTCGGTAATGTCTGAGACATTTGTGGTTGTCAAATGAAGGTGGCGGTGGTGAGTGGAGCTCAGAGGGGTGAGTGCTCGCAACATCTAGAGATGCTGCTCACTATCCTAAAGTGCTCACAAGCAGCCCCTGCAACAAAACATCACCTGGCCCAAAGTGCCCAGGTTGAGAAACACTGATTTACACCACACTTCTCTGCAAGTTACTGTAAAAGGTCAAGGTCATGGTCAAGGGTCAAGGTCATGCAAGTTCCAGAGAACCAAAGATTCATGTAAATTTGCAAATCAGTAGCATACTGCAGTCAATGTAAATGGGAAAATTGACACTTCTGTCTTCTGGCCTCCATTCCCACTGCATCCCACTTTACTTTGAACATTTCCATTGATCTTTGAACATTTGTGTGATCTTATATGGGAATGTTGGTAAAAGGTTCCAAACATTGGAAGACGACCTACACACGAGCGATGACCATTTTGGTTTTTCCCATCTATGAAACTGGAAACATTTTTTCCTCACAAAAACCTTGGTAATAGAAAAATGTCATGTGACATGTCTTCACTTTCCTGAAGAGGAAATGTGAACTTCCAGTCTATTCAAAGAACTAGTGTCTTTAGATGAAACAGATAATCTTTCAAACACTTTCCCGATTTACTAAAGTTTAACAAAATTCTTTTATTTCTATCATGGGATCTTAGGCATCTTGTAAAAACTGGCCTTCTGGGCAACTGGCACGAAAATAAAAAATATATATATATATTTGGCTGATGCACCAGGGAAGGCTAAAATCACCGCAAAAATACAAGCAATCAATGTAATCTTTGTTCTCAAGGTCAGCACACCTTAAGAAAAGACTTCCTGTTCTGAATCACCTCACTGAGTTTAATAAGCAGAGTCCAGGCCTCTGAGTCACCAAATAGCTCCTTCTGGCCGGCAGGTTCTCAGTCTGAAGTAGACAACTTTGAACCTTTCTCCTGTGTTTCAGTGAGTCCATGGCTGATGAGATCCTCTAAACTTCCATACATCAGACTAACAGGTAGCTTATTACAGATGAGATATAGAGGAATACAAAATAGTTTAAAACAGTATTTTAACTTCGCTCATTGTCTCCATTAAGCTGGAAGGACTTCATCGAGGGTTGGCAGTATGATTTTCTGGTGTTCTTGAAGCTCACGCCACTTCTAGACAATCACAGAAACACCTGTGCTCCTTTTCTGACCCACCCTTGGAACTAGGCAGGATGTTTTACAATTCTTTGTTTCCCTTTTTACTGTACAGAAGGCAAAACCAGACACTGCCTTGAGGGTCCTTGGCTTATTGCCAGCCTGCTCTTAAAGAATTTTCAGCTTTGGCTGAAGTAATAGAAAGGAAAGAAAATGATGTAGAGGTCATGGCTGCCAGCTGTTTCTTTCCTCTAACCACATATACTGATTTTTCAATTTGTATAGAAAGAGTTAGAGGTCTGTCCCTTAGCAGCCTTAGTAGCTCCAAGAAGGGGGGACTCATGTAAAGGCAAAAACTTCCACATTCAGAGTAGGTCCAGTGGCCTAAGGCAGAAGGGATGGATTGGTCATGCTGGAGAGCTACTGGGATGACCCTGATATTGGCCAGATTTATGTTAGAGCTCTACCATCATACTTTCCCCTTCACGCTTCTTTTTAAAGTTTTATTTATTCATTTACACAAGAACTGGGGTACAGGCCAGATGCATGGGAGGGTGAGAGGATTCCCCAGAGACAAGCGGGGAACAGAACAGGCAGGCTGACGAAGTATACTGCTGAAGGGAGCAGCGGGCACAACAGGAGAGGTCAGCTGCACCATGTGGGACCCTCGCCGGCCGGCCAGAGGCGCTGCAGAGGCTGCTGACAGCTTCACAGCACTGTGCTCAACCACCTGAGTCACCAGAGGAGGCCCTTCTTTTTTTTTTTAAAGGATTATTTATGCATACAAGAACTGGGATACAGGCCAGAGATGCAGGGGGTGAGAGGACTCACCAGAGACTGAGTGGGGAACATAACAGGCAGATTGACTGAAATACACTGCTGAGGGGAGCAGAGGGCGAGACAGGAGAGGTCTGCTTTGCCATGTGTGTTAGCTCCCTGGCTGGGGATCAAATTCGTGCTGCAGGATCTGAGGACAGCTTCACAGTGCTGTGCTTATCCCCTTGTACCACCAGGGAGGCCCTCACTCTTCTTTTGTGGGGAGGGGAAGAGAGGTTGTCTTCAGAAAATTATTTTATGGCTAAACATTGGCACTCGTTTAGAAAAGTCCCAAATTAAAGAACCAACTTATAAATGACTCATTCACACAATTCCTTTACAAAGGAATACATAATAACAGTACAAAACACAACAAAGCAAAAAAGGACAATTATAAATCAGAGACATCCTGCAGGGGAGGAGGAGGGAGAGGGATCAGAGGGAGGCAGGGAGGAGCACAGGGGACTGAGGTGATGGTGCACGGGTGCATTGGTGAAGGAAACTCTATGGGGACTACACCTGAAGGGGTTGGGGGGAAGCAAATATTGTTTAAAAATGAACAATGATGTAAAAAATAAAAAAAATAATATTAATACAAAGGAATACAGGTGCAACTCCTAAAGAAGTCTCACTCATCACCTGATTTAAATATACAATTACATGTTTTCACTCAACAGCCAAGAAAAGCAAAATTTTGAACTTTAAGTTTCAAACGCTGACTTTGAATTTTAGATAGGAAAATTACATGCAGAAAAGTCTATTATAAATTATATGATTTATTATAATCTTTTGCCTGCTCTTCAGATATTGGGGTTAATCTTAATGTAACAAATATAACTTTGGATGAGTCATACTGGAGTCAGTTTCAAAGAGGAAGACATTTTCTTTGGAAACATTATTGCCCCAAAGAATTTTAAAATACGGATTCAGCAATGCTGGGCTATACTTGAGGTATAGAGCATGTCGTGAATTTTTTGTTTCAAGTTAGTTTTGTGTAACCACAGACAACTATTTTTCCTTTGGTTTCCAACAAGGGAAGGTCCAGAAAATTCAACATTATAGTGTTTATTTATATCGACATCACAGTGTCAGTTATATAGCATCAATTTCCTTGGTCCCCAAAACATTTCTGCAAAACTTAGAGTAGCTAACAAAGAGATATAAGAAGTCTTGAATATTTAATATTCTTTTTTACTCCCAATTATTTTCTAATAGGGATGTTAGCAGTGGGCCTCAAACTCCAGTGGCATCAGAATCACCTAGTTCAAACAGACTGTGGAATCCCACCTGCGAGTTTCTGATTCAGCAGGTCTGGAGTAGGGTACAAGAATCTGTATTTCTATCAAGTTTCCTGATAATGCTGATGCTGCCAGTCTTCAGGGGTCACACTTTTGAAAACTATTGGGTAAAGTCACAGAGTAGCAAGGGAAAGAGAAAGAGAGCCTGTATAATTCATAAACTGATAATGCACCCTTAATTATAGAGATGTGTGAAATGACAGATTCTAAATCAGGAAATTCTGTAATGAGTTATTCCTACCACTAGAAGATTT